GCTTTAAAAGCACAAGAAAAAAGATGTTTTAACAAACAGTTATCAATGATAAATGGCCTAAATTAAGATAAAATTAAATAAGAGTGATATTGAAGGATTGTTAGATTCTGGTGCTGGATGCATCTATAATTTCACAAGAATCCTGGGATCTCAACTGGCCTCTACAAGAAGTCTCCACTCTATTTGTAGACGTTTAAACCTTATCTCAAATAAATCAATGTAAAATGGATTAAATGTTTAGAGCCTAAGAACAAATAAAAATGTTAAAGCCTTATATGGCTGATATAGCCATGAATTTATAAAAAGGAGATTTGTTACAACAATGGAGACCTCAAATTAATATTCTTACAATTTCAAAAATAGTTCATAAATTAATGTTTAAATTGGGATATATTCCTGGAGAGAGCATCGAAAAAAATTAAAAGGATAAATAAAGGTTATACAAAGACAAGGTAAAATAAAAATTGGCTATCCAAATTTAGAGTAGGGGACACTGCTGGTAGACCAACAATGTGTCAATATTTTATAAATTAGCCACTAAAAATGATACATAAATAATTTCCTCAATCTATTATTTATCATTATATGAATGATAGTTTATTGGCTGCTTCTGATACAGATATCTTAGAAAAAAATGTTTAATATGGTACAGAAAAAATTTACCCTGTTGCAGATTACAAATTTCTCCTGAAAAAATATAAAGAGGAGATTCTCTTAGCTATTTAGACTATAAATTAAGTAAACTGACAATTCAGCCATGGAAAGTACAGATTGGGAGAGACAAACTGCTTGCTCTTAATGGTTTTCAAAAATTTTTGGACGATATTAACTGGTTGCAGCCTACAATAGGATTGTTTACTCAAAAATTATTAATTGTTTAAAATTCTACAAGGTGACTTGGATTTAAACAATCCAAGACAGTTTACAGCTGAAGCTGAAAAACAATTAGCCTTGGTAGAACGTAAATTACAAAATGCTTATATAGATAGATTAGACCTTATAAAGAGATGCTTGTTAAACAGAAGGGGGATAGGAAGACCCTCCAGAGACAGATCTAATAATAACCTACTAATTTAAAAATGTTTTAAACACTAATGAAACAAGAACAAAATTGAGTTATAAAGAGTTGCTGAATTGAGCCAGTCAATGCTTTATAAATATTTTAACATCTAAATAGTCCAGGGAAAGTGTTAAGTTAGGGCCGAGGTTATGCTTATGTTTCCACAGGAGACCTTTACAACAACTAATCTTTCCACCTGGGGACAGCTTAAGAGTTTATGTGACAAAGGAGAGATGATACTTCACATAACTCACAAGTACAAACTTCTAAATGCTACAAACTTATTTCTTGCCATGCTTTCCATGGTAACGGTACAGGTAAAAGGGATGGATCATGATTATTGGGCTTAAATCCCCAATTCCCCAATTAACATAACAGTAAGTTAGGGAGATAAGAATATCCCTGTAATGGTTAATAAATCTTCTTGGCTACCTGGTCCTTATGACAACTGAGGTCCTGTTCAGCCAATGAAGGAGGGTAAAATGATTGACAATTACACTGTTAGAACACAAGGAATTCCTATTTGATTGAGAAATGGAATTCAATGCCTAAAAATTACCTCTCAAGCATGGCTATCCATAGTCAATATGACCAAAGATTATTGAAATAAGTTTTATAGTCTTCATATGTCTGATTTTAAAGGACAAGAGATTAATGCTACTAGTTCCATAAATCTACCAATCTATGAGATGAGGGTTACCAACAAGGAATCTGGGTACATTGGCAACAGTGAAAGAGTAAAAAACCTTGAATGCTAATTAATATCTCCAATGGAGACATCATTGATTGGAGCGCTTACGGCTCACCTCAAGAAAAATATTCTCACTCAGAGTTAAGATGGAAATAGTATAATATAAATGGAAGTGTGGAAATCAGTGCTTCTATTAATAAACCTATTCGATAACATGGAGTTGGAATGGCAAGTCCTTTCCTACAATTTGGCGATTCAATTCAGACTAACTTGTAGAAATTAGCTTCCACCCTCTTAAGGCATGGGAAAAAAATTATACATTAAGGATAATAAATACACTGTTTTTTAGACTAAATCAAAGCCATCCTATTATGGCATGTGTACCATTACCTTATTTGCTATTAAAGGGGCCTGTACAATGGCACCAAAATAATTGCAGCATCACTTGTGAATGGTGTACCCTTCATACCTGTGTTAATTCTAGTATGTTTTTAAATTTGACCTTGTCGAGGCCATGGCAAGACTTTCCTGGGATGATCCTGGTACAGAAGCTTGTTAAAAGAATATTAAAAAGAACACATCGTATGGCTAGACTGGTGGTTACAGTTATTATGGGAATCATTACATTGACAGCGACGGCAGTGACGGCTGGAGTAGTGCTTCATAAAGAAATCCAAACCGTGAATTTATTAGAGACTGGCATATACATTCAAAAGAACTTTGGACTAAACAAAATAAAATTGATAATGAGATATTAAATGAGTTAGCTAAACTAAGACAAGCTATTATATTGTTAGGTGATCAGTTAGAGATTTTAAAGGAACAGATAGAATTAAAATGTGATTGGAATGTTTCTTATTATTGTATCACACCCTTAAGATTTAATGAGAACAAATATGATTTAAAAAAGGTTAAAATACATTTGTTGGGTCACCCTAATTCTTCTCAAATTGGTTTTTGATTTACAAAAATAAATCAAAAAAACTTTTACAAAAACGTTACCAGACACAACAGAAATGGATATTATGGAAAATCTAACAGATACCACAGCCTCATTCAATCCTACGAGTCACTTTAATAGATTTCTTATCCTGACAGGTGTTGCCCTTGTTTTAGCAATGGTAACTTTATTGGCTTTAAAATGTGTTTTGGTATACTTGCGTAAGATTATAAGACAAATAGATAAAAAGAAGGCTATATTTACTGTAAGGCTATATAACCTTTAAGATAGTTGAATTTTATTTATTTATTTATATTTATTTTTAATAACAGGGGCTTCTGTAGTGGTATTCCTGAGATCCTGGCTTGGCTCCAGAGAGCAGCACCTAGCCCTACTCCTTCCTTTGTTTAACCACACCTTTTGTTTCTTTTACCTTTTGCTTCTCTTATCACTCTATGTGAATCTTGTTTGAGAGTCAAGGATCAGAGAGTCCCCCAAGGATCAAAGGTCTATGCAAAACTTGGTCCAGGAATCCCAGAAAACCAAGGTACCTGAGAAATCAAGTAATTTGCACCTGGCATTTGGTCTCTGGAAGCTCCTTTTGGGTTGCTTTGAAGGTACAGAGATTAACTATCTAAACTGTAAAATGGAGTAAATAAATATGCCCTAGGCAAAGGGTTAGTGCTTCAGTTTTTCCAGGCTGGACCCCCCTGCAGCCATGATAGGCTAGATTCATTCTTAAGATGCCTCTGTGTCTTCATTCCATGGATCCCTGTGGAACACACACACTCCTTTTGCAACTACACAGCTACAAACTCTGATCTCTGTTCTCACTATTCTCCATCTCTGATCTAGTACCGCCTTCTTGTAAGGATCCTTGGGATTGTCAAACCCAACTTGATAGTCAGGATTACCTCCCCATTTCAACATTCTTGGTTTAATTTAATCAGCAAAGTCTTTCTGCCATACCACAGGTTCTGAAAACAGAATGTGGACATTTTTGTTCACATGCTCTATCTTGTAATCTTTGAATTCTTAATCCTGTTCCCTAAACTTGGCCTTCTATATTTGTTATT